CCTGGCCGACGATAAAGACACAAAAGACAAAACAAACAATCTGGGGGACATCGAGCGTTGCGTTTTGTTTTCGCATGCTTGGCTTTTTACTTATAAATAAAAAACACAAGAAATACTCACTGCGTGGGGCTCCCCATCTGTGCATCGCATGTTTTATGTCATGCCATGGTGAGCGTCTGTTCATGAACGCTTGATTATAATAGCGCGCCCACGTGGGCGACAGGGCCGACAAAGACAAGTGAAACCGAATGCGAGGGAGTGAGTATGAGTCAGATTGAGCTTCGAGTAGGATTGAATATGAGCCTCCTATTCACTCCCCCTCGTCAGTTGCCAGGCCGTGCTGAAGCCAGCGCCCCGCCTGAGACATCCTCGAAACCTGCTCAGAAAGCTAAGGATGTTGGCATAAACACATGCAAACCGCTTGAGACATCCCCACGAACTGGCCGCGAACGGGCCGCTGAAAACACTTCTGGCGGCTCCCCTTAGGGGTGCTGAAACCAGCGCCTCGTTTGAGACATCCCCCAAATCTGTTCTGACAGCCAAGGTCGTTGGGCATGAAAACGAGCAAACCGCTTGAGACACCCCCACAAACAGGCCGCGAACGGACCCGTGAAAACACCCTTGGCGGCCCCCCTTAGGGGTGCTGAAACCAGCGCCCCGCCTGAGACATCTTCAGAATCTGATCTGACAGCCAAGAAAGTTGGGCATGACAACGAGCAGCCCGCGTGAGACATCCTTACAAACTGGCTCCAAACGGGCCCGTGATATACCCCCTGGCGGCTCCCCTGAGGAATGCTCAAGCCAGCGTCCCGCTTGTGACATCCTCCGAATTTGTTGCAATCGCAGACGATGATGGGCACCGAAACAGGCAAACCGCTTGAGACATCCCCACCAACTGGCCGCGAACGGGCCCGTGACATACCATGTGGGAGTGCTCAAACCAGCACCCCGCCTGAGACATTCTTTGAATCTGCTGTAGACGCAGACGATGTTGGGCACCGAAGCAAACAAACCGGTTGAGATATCCCCACACATTGGCAGCGAACGGGCCCGTGATATACACCCTGGCGGCTCCCCTTTTGGGGTGCTGAAGCCCTCGCCCGGCTGTGGCATCCTCCAAATTTGCTGCAATCGCAGACGATGTTGGGCACCGAAACAGGCAAACCGCTTGAGACATCCCCACAAATTTGCTGCGAACGGGCCCGTGATATACCCCCTTGGCGGCTCGCCTTAGGGGTGCTGAAACCAGCGCCCCGCATGAAACATCCTCAGAATCTGTTGTAATCGTAGACGATGTTGGGCATCGACCCAGGCAAACCGCCTGAGACATGCCCACCAACTGGCCGCGAACGGGCCCGTGTTATACCCCTGGCGGCCCCCATTAGGAGTGGTCAAACAGCGCCCAGACTGTGACATCCTCCAGATCTGTTGTAATTGCAAACGATGCTGGGCACCGAAACAGGCAAACCGTCTGAGACATCCCCACAAACTGGCCGCCAACGGGCCCGTGATATAACCCATTGCGACTCCCTCTAGGAGTGCTGAAACCAGCGCCCCGATTGCGACTTCCTCCAAATCTGTTGTAATCGCAGGCGCTGTTGGGCACCGAAACAGGCAAACCGCTTAAGACATCCCCACAAACTTGCCGCGAACGGGCCCGTGATATACCCCCTGGCGGCTCGCCTCAAGGGTGCTGAAGCCAACGCCCGCCTGAGACATCCTCAACATCTGCTCTGAAAGCAAAGGATGTTGGGCATGAAAACGAGCAAACCGCTTGAGACATCCCCACAAATTGGCCGCGAAGGGTCCTGTGAAAGCACCCCTGGCGGCTCCCCTTGCGAGTCTGAGTATGATTAGGTCTGAGTATGAGTAGGTCCCAGTCCGTGCGTTGATTGATTCAGACTAGGAGAAGGTCTTAGTATGTGTAGGTCAAAGTATGAGTAAGTCTGTGTATGAGCAGGTCTGGGAACGAATCTGGGTATGAGTAAGTCTGGGTACGAAGAAGTCCCAGCATGAGTATGTCTGAGTATGCGTAGGCCTCGGTAAGTCAGATCATGAGAAGGTATGAGTATGAGTAGGTCTGAGTATGAGTAAGTCTGTGTATGAGTAAGTCTGTGTATGAGTACGTCCGGGTATGAGTAAATATGGGTATGAGTAAGTATGTGTATGAGTAAGTCTGTGTATGTGTACATCTGGGTATGAGTAAGTCTGTGTATGAGTAAGTCTGTGTATGTGTACATTTGGGTCTGAGTAAGTCTGAGTAAGAGTAGGTCTGAGTATGAGCGTGTCTGAGTATGAGTAAGTCTGTGCATGAGTAAGTATGGGCATGCGTAAGTCTGAGTATGCGTAAGTCCGAGAGGAGGGGAGGAGAAGAGCAGGGAGTAGGAGGCGTCCAAGTAATAACAAGAACCCCATCTTAGGATATAGGAAAACAGCAATCTGGAAGTAACGGACACCCGCATTTTCACAGTACTTGGGCATTTACACATTGATTATTTTTGTGCGGCCTTCAAATGGAATCCTTTTGCGCCTGGTTCGGGGGGAGAGGGGGGGCCTGGCCAGCGAACAAGACAAAACAACCACAAACAGAGACAGACAAGACAACCAAGACAATCTGGGGGGGCAAGACAAACTATGCGTTTCTATGTGTCTATTGGTTTTTATTTGTAAGCAACAAAACCACCAAAAACAGAAAATCTGGAAGCAAAGGACACTGTATTTCCACAGTCTTTGGGCATTTACAGATTAATTCCCAGTGCGAGCTCACCAACCATAATTCTTTAATCTGAACTAATGTGTAGAGCCCCGCAAAGGAATTTGCACATTGATTCCGATTGAACGGCCATCAAACATAATCTTTTTGTGGAACTCTACACATTGATTCCTATTAAGGAATTCTGTTGTGTCCTCGCAATGGGAATCAATAGGTACATGCCCAAAACACGATGAAAAATACAGTAGTTCCTTGCTTGCAGATTGTATTTTTGGTGTTTTTTCTGTGTAAAACTAAAAACCAATGTACACATAAAGACACCGCAGGTTTGGTCCCACAGGTTGTCTTGTTTGTCTTTTTTGTAGTTTTCGTCGGCCAGGCCCCCCCCCTCTCCCCCCGAGCCAGGCGCAATGGGATTCAATGTGATGGCCGCACAAGGGAAATCCATGTGTACATGCCTAAGCATTGTGAAAACACATGTTTGTTGTGTGTTCCCGATTGTTTTTTGTTTTGTTTTGTAGTTTTGGGTCACACTGTACACTTAGACGCGCAACGGTTTCTTGTCCCCCAGATTGTTTTTTTTTGTCTTGTATTGTCTTTTTGCCTTTTTCGTCGACCAGCCCCCCCCCCTCTCCCCCCGAGCCAAGCGCAAATTGATTAAAAAGATGGCCGCACAACAGGAATCAAAAAGTATGTCTGTATAAAATGATAACAGCTGTTCCGTGACAAAAAGAATACATATGTGTTGCCCCGCAAAAGAATGTCATAAGAAGGCCGCGCATAGACCGCTTCTTTCAAAGACGGCCTCACCCAAGGCTTGTTGAAGAAAATCTTGACCGCCCTGACCCGTGCTCTGTTCCTGTTTGCGGTGCGCTTCTTATCGGGCGCCTCCTTCGACGAGGTTGGCATGAAGGCAAGAGCAAGCCTTGTTGAGCCAAGAGGGGCTACGGAAGCGGGAAGGTGACAGAGGGGGAACACGAACCGACAAATCAAGCCTTCAACCCGGAGACGCCCCCAGAACGCTCAAGCCCCGAGAATCCCCCACGAGGCCCCTAAGAGTCCCCCAGGCGGCCCCCAAGAGGCCTCAAAATTGCCCCCAAGAGGCCCCCGAGAAGCCTCCCACGATACCCCAACGATCATCATCATCACCACCATATGCATCACCATCATCGTCATCATCATCAACATCACCATCGTCATCTTCATCGCCATCGTCATCATCATCATCGTTATCGTCATCGTCATCGTCGTCATCATCATCATTGTTATCATGATGTTCATCCCTCGCGAGTGCCGTCTCGAGTGCCCCCTCGAACGAGAGCCGTCGAGCATGCTAGAATAGCACAGTGGCAGGACTTGCCGCACGCAGCTAAATAATAGACAGGCGGCCCGACAGAGACGTAGCATAGCTGATATAAGAAAGGAAAGCATAGGGAACAACAACAACGAGGAAGGTAGATCACAGGAGGGCCTTTTAGCATATATATATATATAGATGTACATTCAGCGCCACCCACAAGAAGAGCCAAGGTACGCATCCCGTCGTGACAAACTGTGTCCACCGCGATTCAAAAGCGTACGGGGTGATCCGTTGGTGAAGCAATGACGACGCACGCCTGCAACGCAGCGGGATCCGATGCGAAGCACAGAACAGCGTAGCAACGCTTAGCAACACACCGCTTATTCAACCATGCAATCAATGGCAAATCAATGTATTTCATACTACTGCATGTCATCGCGGGGCAGCATCATGGTGTGGCATCTGCCAAAGGAAGCATAACAGCATGACAGACCACTGCAAAGCATAGCATACCAGTGCACTGAAAAGCACAGCACCTCATAGCATCAGATCGTGATATTTCGTAGGGGCGCATAACATGGCATCGCATATATCACCAGAGCGTCGGAGCGTTGCGTAGAACAGCACCTACTTCCAATTCGTAGCGGGTTTCATTCGCCGCATGACATCGCATTGCACATCGCATGCCGCAGCGTTGCAACGCCTATCGGCCCACGTGAGTGCATATCATGCCATGGCGTAGCAGTGGGTTGTGTATCATTGTCCAGCATGCCGGTCTGTAACCGTGCCTGTTGTACGTTTGTGCTGCATCGCGTTACTTAGTTGCGTATGGCAACACTTTGTATAAATGTGCGTCCGCTTGCGCATCCTATCACCTCGGACCATAACACGGCGAAGCATGTCTTGGCACAGCATGGCATCGTATGAGATAGCCGGGCGCGTCGTTGCCCTCGGCGGCCCCAGCGGGGCGCCCCGCGCGCGCCGCCGATGTTCGACAGTTGCATCGTGGACACTGCGGGGCGCGCTGCGGACGACGTCGACCAGGTGGAGAGACGGGCAGCCAGGAACCTGGAGGTCAGCAGCGCCGCCATCTCCGCGCACATCGCGGCCCTCTCGGAGCGGCTCCTCAGGCTGGAGACGCACCGTCCGAGGCTGTCGTGCCCATTGGCAGGGTGCCCGCCGCGCCTGTGCCGGCTCCCGCAACGGGGGGCGACCGCCCGGAGCTGGAGGACAAGCGCGTGGAGACCTTGGGAGCGAGGGTGGACCCTGACGGCCTGCAGCAAGGCTACGCCGAGTTCATCGCCACCACCGAGAAAAATCTGAACTGTGTCGGTGTGCACACCTGGAGCCTGTGCGCGGCCACGCGGGCCAACTCTGGCCCCACGACCTGGTGCCTCGCGCTGGTGCCGTCCGTGTTGTTGCTTTTCATGCAGTGTTTCTTGTTGCAGGTTACGACCTTCGCGTCGTTGCACCCATCTTGCAGCCTTGATGCGGGCTGCCGAGAGGGCATGTGGTGCGCACCGAGCAAGGACTACAATGGTTTCCGCAGAAGCCCGGACATGTGCGACGACTGCAGGTGGGCCACAAGTTTAGAGAGCCAGGAATACGATAGCCTCCCTTCCCGGTACAACGCTGCTGCGTATGCGGCCGCTGAGGAGAAGTTGTCGGAGGCCGTCGCATACTGCGAAACGGCCGACACCGAGCCAGACCGATGCGATTATGTGGTGAATTTCCACTCAGAGCTCACGCTGGCTCCGCTAGTCGTCTTCATTTGCACAACGGGCCTTGTGCTGACTTCCCTCATCGCAGGCATGGACAGGCAGGCGCAAATCGCAGAGCTGCTCGAGCACCGGATCACGCACGTGGTTGCTGGCCCGAGGCTCTCCGTGATCACCAGCGCGGCGTGGCCGATATATGTTCTAAGGATGCTTGTTCTGCCTGGCGTGGTCGTGTACGCCTACGCCGGCCTCGTGCTCGCCAGCCCCTGGGCCTTTGGAGTGGCTTTACCGGTGTCCTTCGTATGCCAAGGACTCGTCGTCTGCTTTGTCCACAGCGTCGACGGTGTACTCGCCCTCGCGTGCCTGGACGAGAGGGCGCAGGCGCTCATCCGGGAGGCCTTCGCCGGCATGCAGGCGCACGAGGACAAGGTCCATGTAATGGAGTCCATGGACCAGAAGCAGCTTGAGTATTTCCTTCGCCGCTTCTTGGCGCTTTGCTACGGTGTCCTGACCGTGATGAACGTCCTGATCACGGAGTCCATCATGAATTCGGCGCCGCTGTTCAGGCTGGATTGGGACGAACTTCCTTCGAGGTTCGTCGACAACCCGTCGGCGAAAGCATGCACCAACGTCGTCACCACGCTCAGCGCCACCGCCATCTTGGCGACCTCTTTTCTGGCGCTGATGTGGTGCCTTGGTTACCAGATATCGAACTCGTTCAGACGCCATGGTGTCCTCGATGTCGTGTTCGCGCCAGTGGTGACGCTGGTGACCATGTCAGCGCTGCCCTTCTGCCTCTTGATCTTCGGGTACGCGTCGATCTGGTTCGCGTAGATAGGTTTGGAGTGCGGATGGATGAGGACGAGGAGGATGTACCCATGAGATCGGGTCCGAGCTCGGGAGATGACAACGGTGCGTCTTGTGCAGCGCCCGAGCGTGCCCGACATGCCCGAGCTCTGACCTGCGCGCCCCGTCCAATCCTGCAGTCCCGGAGTCTGACGAAGACAGACATTCGGGGGGGGAATGAGACGTCAAAACACAGCAAGCAGAGCGCATCGAATCACGACAAAGTTCCGCCGAGCAGAACAAGGCAGCGCACGGCTGTTCAAACGAAGCAGAGCGAGTCGAGACCGACCAGTTCGAGCGAGTTGAGGGGCTCGGGGAACCCTGGGGACCCCGTAGGGAATCCCCGGGAAACCTCAGGGAACCTTTTGTCCATCCTACCTGGGCCTGCGGCGGGGGGGGGGTGAGGCGGGCGGGGCGGCGAGCCAGGAAGGGCACGCATGCAGTATGGACGAGGACAACACGCTGGCTTTGAGTCGTGTTGCTGGCTCACCTGCAGAGGGAGCAATGCGAGGGCAGATTGGTAGGCAGGCGGCACATGCCTTACTCCACCTCCCATGGTTGATCGCATGGGTGGGCGGACGGAAGGACGGATCGCGCGTGTGCAGAGGAATGGATGGTTGGATGGACGATGGCTGCTGGGGTAGGCGGAGGGGAAGCGGCGCCCAGAGATCCCACGGACATGCCCAGGGGCCAGCAAAGGGATTTGTGGAGGTGGGAGGGGCGGGGAGGAGAGAGAGGGGGAAGAGGAGGAGGGAGGAGAAGGAGGAGGGAGCAGTGAGGCCGGGGCAGATGGAGAGGATGGGTGGAAGAACGGAGGGAGGAGCGGAAGCAAGAATCCGAAGGGTTGTGGGGGAGGAGGAGTCGGGCGAGCAGCCTGGCGAGGGATGCATTCGTGCAGTGGCAGCGTGCCTGCCGCTACAAGTGACGTAGTCAAGTCGCCTCGGTTGCACGACCATCCACCGCTGCTTGCCACAGGCGTGCTCCACGGGCTCCCGCTCGCTTCCAGCTCTGCTGCACTCGCTTCGTGCAGTGGCGCAGCCGGGAGAGCCCGCGTGCGGCCCCGGCCTCGGCCTCGGCTCGCAGACCCTGGCCGTGCTGGCGGCGGGAGGGCGCACGGAGCAGAGGAGGAGGAGGAGGAGGAGGAGGAGGAGGAGGAGGAGGAGAAGGAGGAGGAGGAGGAGGAGGAGGAGGAGGAGAAAGAGAATAAGGGAGAGGAGGAGAGGAGGAGGAGGAGGAGGAGGAGGAGGAGGAGGAGGAGGAGGAGGGAAAATGGTCCCAGAGGCGCGGGAACCCCAAAAGGATGGGGCTGCTCCTCGCTGCCTCCTGTGGGGAGCCTCCGCTCCCGCTCCCTCTCCCAGCGCCGCTCTGTCCTCGGGCTGGCCCCTGCCCCCCCTCTCGTCCTGGACGCCCCTCCTCCTCGGCGCGCGCGAGAGGGGGGGCACCACCCGCCAAGCCACCCCAACCCAGCCCGAAGGCCTCCATTTGCCCTCCATTTCCAGTGGGGGGGGGGGTCGGGGAACATTAGAGAAAAAACCCGCACGGAACCTGTACCCCCCCCCCAACCCGAAATTCGGGTCAAATTCGGGTCTTCGGATTGGGTTGGGGTGGTCTGGTAGGTAGTTCTGGAGAGAGGGGGGCCCGCAGAGGCACCCCCGCGCGGTCCTCTGCACCGCCGGCGGCCTCTGGGCCACTGCCGCGCACGCCGGCGGACATCGCCACGGCGGGGGCAGCGCGGGCGCAGGCACCGGGGGGGGGGGGGCGGGGAGGGAGGTTCGGGCCGGACGAAAGGGGGGGGGTCGGGAAAGGGGGGGGGTTACGGAATCTGCTGCATGCAGCTGGCTTCGACCCCACCGAGGAGCCCCTTTCTCGATACATGGCCGCCTCCGCCGCCGGGAGGCGCCGGGAAAATCAGCTACGTGGGCTGATTCTCAAACGCCCCCCCTTGCTATCCCCCCCCTGTCGCCCGACCCGAGAGGTCGAGCAGTGGCGAGCGTCTCGGCTTGCCCATGGGCCCACCACAGAGGTGATGTTCTCAGGGCCTTTTGGCGGTCTGTACGATGTGTTCTTCGACTGCTGTTGGCTGGGACTGTCCTGCTTTCCCACGTCGGGCTTCTGCTCTGAGAGCATGTGGTGTTGTTCGTAGAGCATGCCTGGGTTCCAGGCACATGTCCTGGTAGGCCTCCTAGGAATGCCAGGACGAGGGGTCCCCGCTCGAGGTTGGGAGCAGCTGGCGGGCTCACGTCGACCGTCCCCTCGGTCCTCGTCTCCAGGCCGCCCAGGTGGGGTCGGAGCAGAGGGTGTCGGAGGACCGCGCCGCATCGCCGAGGCATCGGGCATCGGCTATGTGCGGCTCGACCCAGGGCACGATTTCTTTACCCCGACCACGTCGATGCGACGCCGACCAGCAGCTGGCGGGTCGGGTTGTCATTGCATGTCTTCGTCGTGCTGTGCTCCCCCTCTCGCGCGGGCTTCAATTACTACGACAGTGGGGGGCTGCACATATAACCTACAATCTACAACAAAATCATTGGGAACTTGAGCTGTGTAGGGAAGGAATGCCTAGCCCACGCAGCCAGTGGATATGTACATATACATTTGTATGTTAACACATGCATTGACATGAGCAGCCGAATATCATGCCGAGCGGATCCTGTTATCTCTGCTTCACTTGTCCGCTTTCGTTCCCTGTTCTCTGATGTAAGAGGCTGACACCATTCCGCCGACCCCCAAGAGAAGGTACGTGCGGCTTCCGATTTCGTGTGTGCTGTTTGCCACCTCCCGTCGTGCAGGCCGCGTTCTCATCTTCCTTTGCGTCCGTTGCGGGGCTTCTTGGGGGCCTCGTGGAGGTCTAGGGGGACCGCCTTGGAGTTTTTGTCAAAGCTCCCTAGCGCTTTTCGAGGCCCTCTGGGAGCTTCTTGGGGTCATGTTGGGGGTCTTGCGTGTCCCTGCGGGTCCCCCCTCCTGGGCCTCTCTGGGGTCCCTCTTGAAGGCTTTTGTTGGCCATCGTTGGGTGCCCCTCGGGCCGTCTTAGGGGCCCTCTTGGGCCGTCTGCGGGCCCTGCTGGGGCCTCTTGGGCCGTTCTGGTTTTGTCTGGGGGGCCTCTCGCGCCTTTTCGAGTTGCAGACGCCCCAAGAGGCGAGACTGCGAAACAGATTCAAAAACAGCGAGGCATTCAACGGTTTGCATCTCTTGGGGCCCTCTTGGGGCTCCCTTTCGGCGTTGTGGGCCGTCCCGAGGCTATCTTGAGTGTTCTTGAGGCCTCTCCGACGCGTTGGAGCCCTCTGGGGCCACCTCAGAAAACATCTTGGGCATCTTGGTGGCGACGGAGGCTTGATTTTGATGCTCAGAGGGCCCCGGAGGCGTGCTGGGGAGTTCGACCCTTCCCCCACTTCCATGTAAGGAGATTTTAGGACTCCCGCGGAGGGGTTGAAGGGGGGGATGGGGACAGCCAACTGTCTCATACTCTTTTCTTATATACTCAATGCATGCTTCTAGTACACTAATACAGTACTCTTCTTTTGATGTGTTAAGTGTATTACACATAAACATGTTATTTGTCACTCCTGGCAAGCAGGGTCGGCGGATTCTCCCCCCCTCCCCTCTCTCGCGACTCACTCCGTCCTGCTCCTCCCTCGCCCTCTGGCACCGTGGCCGCCTGGCTGGCTGTCGCGTGCCGTGGGAGCCAGGCTATCCCGCAGGCCGTGGCTGTGATCCATCCGTTTTCCAAGCCGCTGTCATGTCTCAAGACTCCTTGAATGTGCTTCCTAGGAGGCGTTCCAAGAAAGGGCCTTGCCTCTGAGGACAGAAAGAGATGACACATCTCCCTCGGCGGAGGGCAGCGGAAGGGCAGCGGAAGTAAAACGAGGCCGCCTCCGCCGGCGAAAGCCGGCGGAAGGCCGGCGGAAGGTGGCGGGAGTAAAACATGCGCCCCCAAGAGATGACAACATTGTTGTGTTCAGGGTTGCCGAAATCCGCCAGAAATGCGCTCGGCGGTTCGCCACCATTTGCCCACTAGCAATTCTGTGTGAGAGACATCGGCGCACGTGACTTCTCAGGTAGAGCGTCCTACGCTGAACTTTTCCTGGCGTTCCGCCAGGACAGAGGCCAGCCCTCTGGGAACGGCCAGTCTGCCAGGAAAAGGTGGGCACACATCCTTTTCGAGCCTTTCGAGCGCGGCCCCAAGTCGCATCCGCGAGTCGGCCGATCGCCTCCGCGGCAGTTGCCGCGGAGGCTGCGGACTTTGCCGCATCAAGAGCGCAGCGCGGCCGCTGCGGCACACATCCTCATCTTCCTCTTCCTCTTTACCTTGTTCGGTCCCGGCCGCCCCCCTTTTGCACGCCACCCTGCTGCACGAGCTGCGCCCAGCCGTGGCCAGGAAGCCCCCCCCCCCCGAAGCCAGAAAACGGCCGAACGCCCGAAACGCGAAGGCTCCAAGCAGCGCCCTCCCCCCATTGGCACACGACGACCACTCAGACCTCCGACGTCGTGATTTTTCACGACGTCGACCCCCAGAAGCCTGGACCCCTTCCCCGGGACCGGTTTTTCGTCCCGAGACATTTTTTGACGGTCCTGAGGCCTGGGAAGGGCCCCCAGAGGCCGAACGTAACGAAAAACCTCCCGTCGTGATGTCTTCACAGCGCGAGGAGGCCTGGGCACGGCGTCGCCGCTATATAGCTCTGCGACGCACGCCGCGGCGACGGCGACGTCGGCGACGACGGCGCCGGGCCGCCGGGCTCGCGTATATACGCCCGCCCTCCGCCCGCGCGCCCCCGAGGCCCAGCCGCACACGCCCGCGGCCCTCCTCGGCGGGAGAGCCGCGCCGGACACGCCCGCCTCGACGTCGGCGCAGCCGTACACGCCGGCGTCGGCCTCGGCCGCGCCGGCGTCGGCGCCGCCGGCCTCGGCGCCGGAGACGCCGGCGTCGCCGGCGAGCGCGCAGCCGCACACGCCGGCGGCGTCGGCGGGCGCAGGCGCCCGTCTCGGGCGGG